ATAAGGTACCATTACATCCTTTAGCTTTACTATCAGTTACTCCCTCTATTTCAATTTAGATGACACAATTTCCTTATTAGTCCGTTCCAAAAAGAATGACACATTTCTAGAATTGGAAATAATTTAACTTTATACTGTTCATTTTACCCATATGAGAAGCTTTAAAACCACATAAATGACATGGCTCCATAAAGCTTTTACCAGGTGCATATCTTGCTCGGATCTTCTTCCATAATTGTACGGAACAATAGCATCATTGGGGTAGATACACAAATCACCTTAAATGTTTTGCAGTCAAGATCCCTTCTGTCTTTGCACTCGAGGGACAATCTCCGTCCGGCCCGAGGAAACCTTTGCACACCTCCATTACCTTTTGGGAGGCCTACGCCCCATAGAAACAGTCTACCTGAGACCGTTCCTTGGCCCGGCCGGAAGGACTTCTAGTCTATTAGAATCCCCTAGAGTATTAAAATATATCTTTAGTTCATTTCATATATAACTATCACTAGTCAATATCTAATATCACATATACATGTCTTTCTTCCATAACGTAAACCAAACATTCTTAGGATCACAAGTTTCAAAAGTCCATTTTTTTCTTAAACTCTGTGCCGAGTCAAATCACCTCACCTAAATTGAAACGGATGAATAATAAATATAAATCCCTTTGATGTTGATGTTTCATTGTTAGAGCACAGAGTATTCTTTGGTTGAAAAGGACTAAATCATTCTGTTTTGCACCTGTGCTGTATTTTGTATCAAAAAAGAGTTGTCTTTAATGTAGTTTATGTTTCCGACTCCATTGCAGTTACCTTGAGGCACTTGATAACAATCCTGACATTGATCGGAACGAAACGTTAGGACATTTTATTCAGTCACATGGCTATTCGGAGTTATTTTAGAAAGCTTATCTGGTGAGACTTTCGTTCTGTCATAGTTCTTGATTTTGCTACATGCATAGGCCATTTTGTTTCATTCAAAAAATTGATCTTTCTATAAGCAATTCACAAATATGTTTTGACAGATTCCAATATGTGTTTCAATTTGGTCCTGCCGCTCGGATGGAGTAATGGACTTTTCTGCTTATTCCATTCTTTCATTCTGTCACAACCACCATCTTTTGCAGGTAGTAATGAGCATATTTTTTGTATAGCTTATAGCCAATTGCTAAATGTAGTCCATAGCAGATACTGAATTTGAATGCTTCTATGTATCATTTTGATGTTTTGAGTGCTTTCATTCTTTCTTTACAGCTCTTTGGTCGCCCTCAATGGCTCACTGTTAGATGGCGATCACGTACATATGTAAACAAGGTGGTATATTATTTTCCATGTACCACAAAGTCCTAGTAATTACCAGTTATTTGCTTTCTTGAGCGATTTGTTAAGCTTCTATCGTCTTTCTGAGTTATATGATGGGTGTTCAAAGCAGGTTAAGGAGGAGCTGGAGAAGAGAGGCTGCCAATTAAAGACTAGTTGTGAAGTAAATTCTTTATCAACGAATGAAGAAGGTGCGCTTTGGTTTTAGCATTTTAAATACCTCTATTTTCTCATGTCTATTTTAAATCCCACAGTTAGGAACTACTGATGATTCTAACTGTAAAAGAAAGAGCGTTTGCAGGTTGTACTGTAGCTTGCACTGATGGTTCCAAAGACGTATGCGATGGATGCATAATGGCTGCACATGCACCAGATACTCTGAGAATGTTAGGCAAAGAGGCAGCATACGATGAAACAAGAATACTTGGTGCTTTCCAATATGTTTATAGGTACTTTCGCCTTCCTTTTCTCATTCTTTTTTACTTTTTTTTTTCCAAACAGCTCATGCTTAGACTGAAGGGGAGCCTTAGCGCAACTGGTAAAGTTGTTGTCATGTGACCAGGAGGTCACGAGTTCAAACCGTGAAAACAACCCCCATCGGAACGGGATGGGATGGGGAAGTTGGTCTCCTTATATAGCTTGAGCAATCCTTATCAGTTAGGATTTTGGGGTTGAGTTAGACCTAATATCTATTTTTTTAACATGGTATTAGAGTCGGACCGGGTGTGCGAGAGAGGTATTAAGTGCCCCACGTTGGTTGAGGGATGAGTCATTTGTCTCTTTTTGTAATATGGCCAATATTTTGGCTAATGTAGTCCATCTCACATAAGCATATTTGCAAAGTAGACTTTGTTGGCAATATTCTTTGGGACCCAAAAGTATTGCATTGTGTGGTGGATATCATTTGCATAAGTTGTATCTTTTCTTTTACAACTAAGAGGTCAAAGATTGTTTTGCCTATGAAAGAAGAGGCAATTAGTTTATTTTAAACACACCAACAAGACTTGAATCTTCATTTCTTGTTTCTTCCTTTTCTCCTTTATCAAGGGTGTTTTGTATGAGAGTTAAGTGTTGGGAAGCACCTGTGTGGACCCTTTCTTTGGAGTGATCTTGTGAGGTTATTCCCTTAGGGTATTTGGGATTGATTAGAGTATTTACTCTAATTTTGTACTCTCTTTTGTACTCTTAAAGGTATAGTAAAATTACACTTCTCCGCTTGTGTATGTAGGTCATACTCACCGAACCACGTTAAATTGATGTCTTCTTTATATACTTTAATTGCCGTTATTATCAACTTGNTGAAGCTCAGGTCACAATTGCGACACCTGCAGCTGAGTAAAAGAGGGTTAGACAAGATTTTTCATTCATTCTTCATATTTTCAAAATCCAAAACCTTAAGAGGCGATTTTCCAAAGACCAAATCTTCCCCAAATCATAGGTAAGTGATTCCTAACTCTTTTCTTTCAATCTTTTACATCTTATAACAAGATTTCAAACTAGAATCTAGAATTTTTATGGTGAAATTAGGATTTTTGGGTAGAATTAAGTGGCCTTCGGAGCGAGGTAAGTGTTGTATCTAACCTTGACTTAAGGGAATTAGGAACCTTAGATTACTTGCTAAGTGAAATTCGTGTGAGCGGTGTATATGTGAGGTGACGAGTACATATGCGTCGCCAATTTTCCTGTTTTTTATGTTTCTCAATTTTTTTTATATTGTCTCATTCCTATGCCTAATTGCGATGTGTTATGCTAGTGTTGTTCAATTTATCGTTCTTATCATGTTTACAGATTTTCTGGTGATAATTGAGTTTTTATTTCAAAGTTGAGATTGATGTTATGGAACCAAATATTGAAGTAAGGTTTGTACTTGTTATTCTATCTCCATGTTGATATTAATGCATTGTATTTTGGTAACGGAGAGTGTTAATGCACGAAGGGTGACGCAGTGCCATATTATGAGTATTAATGCACGAAGGGTGATGCCGTGCCATAGTGTGAGTGTTAATGCACGAAGGGTGCCGTGCATATTGTGAGTGTTAATTCACGAATGGTGATGCCGTGCCATGATATGAGAGTTAATGCACGAAGGGTGATATCGTGTCGTTTCTATTTATTTTATGGTGAGATTGAGAGTAAAAGCACGAAGGGTGATGTCGTGCATTTTCCTTACTGTATTCACTATTCCTGTTGATTCATGGCATATTGACTGCTCTGGTGATCATTCTGTTGTAGTTCTTTATCTTGTGTTCCCCTCCCAACATTTTCTGTTTAGTTCTTCATTTATGTTATTTGCATATATACTGTTAAATTGTATATGTTGATTTGTAGGTGCCTTGCCTTAGCCTCGTCACTACTTCGTCGAGGTTAGGCTCGACACTTACCAGTATATGTGGTCGGTTGTACTGATACTGCACTCTGCACTTTCTGTGCAGATTTTGATACCGGCTCGGGTTGATCGAGATTTTGCTATTGGTCTGCTGTCCGGAGACTCAAGGTAGATCTGTCGGTGTTCACAGACCTTGAAGTCCTCGTCTATCTTTTCTGTTCTACTTTTTCTTTCATTGAGACAGTTGTATTTCTTTCAGACTATTACTTGTAGTAAATTCTAGCATGCTCGTGAATTGTGACTCCAGATCCGGGTGGCAGTAATTAATACAGTTTTATGATATTCTGCACTTATTATATTTCATCTTAGTTAATTATTGTTATTTACTGAATGAAAATAAGGAATTGGTTTAACGATTTTCTAACATTGGTTTGCCTAGCAAGTGAAATGTTAGGCGCCATCACGATCCCATCAGTGGTAAATTTCGGGTCGTGACAATAACACATGTTAAGAAGCCAAAACTATTTTATTGAAGAAGTATTCCTCTTTCAACGAATCCTGTTTGTTTATAATTTCCTGTTACTTTCTGTTCTCTTATGTACTTATAAACACAAACGAATCATTCGTACATTATTTTTAGACTATATGTTTTCTGTGCTCAGCTTGTTAGAAGAAGGGGGCACGATGTTCACCTTCGAAGGATAAAAGCTCTCTTAAAGTTTCTCTTAGAGTTCATAGTCCGCGGTTTTACTGGAAGGTAATTGAAGTTCTTTGTTTTTTTCCTCTCGTACAATTCCTCAAGCCAATAAAAAGAAAATTTCAAAGAATTCTACAATATGGATAAATTTTTTAACATATAATAATCTCTTACAGGTTGCAACTCAAGGTGACTTAGGCCTTGCCGATGCTTTTATTCAAGGGGATTTTTCTTTTGTTGATAAGAATGAAGGTCTTCTTAATCTTTTCATGGTGAGGAAATGACTCTATTTCTTTGTAAATAGCTATTTGTTGGTACTTGGCATCCTGAATTCTTTTACAGATTTTCGTTACTGTATTCACTATTCCTGTTGATTCATGGCATATTGACTGCTCTGGTGATCATTCTGTTGTAGTTCTGATTCAAAGTGTATTTATGTATGGTAAATATAGTGCATAAGTTAGTTAAATAGGAAAGGAGAGCTCAGCAATTGACCGAGTATTCCATTTTTGTGAAGCTTAAGGAAATAAACTAAGATATATACTATTTAATTGGAAAGATTGAAGAAAAAAATGTGCTAGAAAATTAGGCTACATCAATAAAATAGTCGTGGTGTGTACAAGCTAGTTGGATATCACCGTCTAAAAAAGAAAAATTAAAACAATAACTTTAAAACAGGAGGGGAAATAAAATTACAGAACGGTAAAAAAACATGTTGCATGCAATACAGTTTTGAAATTACGGTACTTAAATTCAACTCTCTGACTGTTACATAAAAATATATTATTGAGATGAATAGGAATTACTCTGGTAAATTGATCACTTGATACGAATTAAATCTACGTACCAATTTTTCGTTAAGCCACAATCCCAGCACACGCACGTGATTTTTGAAGAAAATGTGTGGCTTGACAAAACCAGGGATTTTGGCTTGTGTTTTTCGAGTTTTAATTTAATTGACTTTGTGTACTAATATTATATATTTGTTTTTTTACATTGTTAGATTGAGTCGGCCTACGACAATGTATAATAATTCATAACAAATCCACTATGCTAATTTAGCCTAAAAAATATGAATGATATAACTGATTAAATTGCATTAAACATATATAATAGTTTTTTTATAAGTACTATCAGTATATATAAATTAAATTAGTTTTTTTTTACCATTGTAAATATTCAATATTTTTCTTTTATGTGGGGAAGTGGGGCCTACTGTTTGGGAGGAACTAATTCTCAACAAAACAACCATAACCTTATCTGAATATCACAAGGTAAACTTGTCACGACCCAAAATTCATTAAAGGTCGTGATGGCGCCGGATATCGCTGTCAGGCAAGCCAACAATAAATACTTAATTTGGTTCTCGTTTTAATATTTTGAAATCATATTTTCTTTCCATTAAATAGTAAAAGATGGAAATTACAGAGTAAATGATAATATTTTCAACAATTTCAATACAGAACAACTCGTAATCACTCCAAAACCCGGTGTCACAAGTGCATGGGCATCAACTAAGAAGTAAAAATAAAGTACAATATCTGTCCGGAGTACAACTTAGACATGAAAAATACAAATAACTCTGAAAGAGACTCTGCTGGCTGCGGATCATAACCTGAAATGCAGCTCGCGGCAAGTCCCCACATCATCTGTGCCTCCGTGCTCAAAGGACCACCGGACATAAAAGCACCTGAACACAAATGTGCAGCAAGTGTAGCATGAGTACGTAAATCCACGTGTACCCAGTAAGTATCTAGCCTAACTCCGGAGAAGTAGTGACGAGGGGTCGACATCGATACTCACTAGTGGTCCAATAATACCAGTATAATACGGAGGTGAACAAATATGAGGCAAAGTAAATAAATGAAATATCTGTAAATATTTTCCTGATTCGAATTATAACAACCTATTTGGTGAGGTCCATTATACACATATATATGCTCCGGTTGATGAGGAATTTGCTAATTAAAAGCTTGAGTTTATTGTAAGGAGGATAATTGTACCACATATTTAACCCTGGCTTCTTTCCAAATATTTCACACGATTCCATGAGGATATTTTATTGAAATGTGGAGTCGTACGACCCGATCCAACATAATTATTAAACTGTGCACTGCCGAGGGTCGAACGGCACGAACCATAGATGCATCTATTAAACTACCGAGGCGAACGACCAGGTCCCATGAGAGTGTGGTACATAAATCCTGCCGAGGCGACCGACCCGATCCCATTAGAGTGTGGTTCATAAATTCTGCCGAGCCGAACGGCCCGATCCCATTAGAGTGTGGTTCATAAATTCTNCGGACATAGCTGTCAGGCAAGCCAACAATAAATACTTAATTTGGTTCTCGTTTTAATATTTTGAAATCATATTTTCCTTCCATTAAATAGTAAAAGATGGAAATTACAGAGTAAATGATAATATTTTCAACAATTTCAATACAGAACAACTCGTAATCATTCCAAAATCCGGTGTCACAAGTGCATGGGCATCAACTAAGAAGTAAAAATAAAGTACAATATCTGTCCGGAGTACAACTTAGACATGAAAAATACAAATAACTCTGAAAGAGACTCTGCTGGCTGCGGATCATAACCTGAAATGCAGCTCGCGGCAAGTCCCCACATCATCTGTGCCTCCGTGCTCAAAGGACCACCGGACATAAAAGCACCTGAACACAAATGTGCAGCAAGTGTAGCATGAGTACGTAAATCCACGTGTACCCAGTAAGTATCTAGCCTAACTCCGGAGAAGTAGTGACGAGGGGTCGACATCGACACTCACTAGTGGTCCAATAATACCAGTATAATACGGAGGTGAACAAATATGAGGCAAAGTAAATAAATGAAATATCTGTAAATATTTTCCTGATTCGAATTATAACAACCTATTTGGTGAGGTCCATTATACACATATATATGCTCCGGTTGATGAGGAATTTGCTAATTAAAAGCTTGAGTTTATTGTAAGGAGGATAATTGTACCACATATTTAACCCTGGCTTCTTTCCAAATATTTCACACGATTCCATGAGAATATTTTATTGAAATGTGGAGTCGTACGACCCGATCCAACATAATTATTAAACTGTGCACTGCCGAGGGTCGAACGGCACGAACCATAGATGCATCTATTAAACTACCGAGGCGAACGACCAGGTCCCATGAGAGTGTGGTACATAAATCCTGCCGAGGCGACCGACCCGATCCCATTAGAGTGTGGTTCATAAATTCTGCCGAGCCGAACGGCCCGATCCCATTAGAGTGTGGTTCATAAATTCTGCCGAGGCGAACGACCCGATCCCATTAGAGTGTGGTTCATAAATTCTACCGAGGCGAACGACTCGTCCCATTAGAATAAGAAGCCGAAATAGGTCCTTGACCCCCACTAATGAATAAACATGTGAGTTATAATTTTTAAGGAAAATTGTTCGATGAAAATGCACAATGCGTGAGAAATCCGTAAGAGGAACACCACTATTTCGTGGAAAATCATGAAACCCTCAAAAACTCTACAATAACAAGTCTATCACTCTACACATGTCTTGTCTCAAGTCATAATGTGAAATAAAGAATTAACGAGCAAGGATAATCCCTATAGTACAAGTACAACATGATGTAAATCTAAGTCTACCCGGACCATAACATGAATAACAACGTACGGACTCTCGTCACCTCGCGCGTACGTAGTCCGCGCAACAAGTTACACACATCAAATACATCACCTCCCCCTCATAGAGTCAGATAGGAGACTTACCTCGCTTCAAAGTTCCATAACCGGCTCCAAAGCCTCTCTAACACCTCAAACCGATGCCTGTTGCTCCAAAACTAGTCAAACAATGTGCAAACCCATAAAAATATACTCTAATACTCATAACAAATCAATTTAAACAAATTCCCACTCCACTCGAAAAGTCGATAAAGCAACCCTCGGGCCCACATGCCCAGATTCTGAATATGTTCGAAGATAACCATTACCCATAACATTACGAACTCAAATATATAATTTATTCTCAATTCCATATCCAATTTTGTGGTCAAAATCCAAAAATACCGATTTCTAGATTTCTTTCAAAATCTCACAATTTCTATATATTTTCATGCTTGAATCCATATAAAAATCATGTATTTAACTCACAGTATGTGGGAATTACTTACCTCATGAAGGATGATAAAATGGCACTCCAAAATTGCCCCCAAGGCCTGCTCCAACGAGAGAAAAGAGGTGAAATGAGCCAAAACCCGATTTGGCTAACTTATGCATTCTGCCCAGGCGACTTTCGCACCTGAGAAGCCAAAGGCCGCTTCTGCGGCACCAAGACTGCTTCTGTGGGAAAACACTGGAGGCCGCCCCTTCGCACCTGCGGACAACGTCCAGCTCATGCGACATCGCAGGTGGGCAAATACACCTCGCTCCTGTGCTCCACTCCGCTTCTGCGCTCCAAGAGGCCACATCTGCGCCATCGCAGATGCGGAAAAAGTCTCGCACCTGCGGGCACTGCCCAGCTCGCCCAGGACCACTTCTGCGACCCTACTGGCCGTTTCTGATGCTCCGCACCTATGGCCAAAACCTCATAGGTGCGGTTACACCAGATGACAGCAGCTCCAACATTCCTCCAAGCCCAAACTCGATCTGTTTACCATCCGAAATCCTTCCGAGGCCCTCGGGACCTCAACCAATTATACCAACACGTTCCAAAATAAAATACGAACCTAGTAGAAGCCTCGAACCACGTCAAACAATATCGAAATCACGAATCACGCCTCGAATCAAACTTAGAAATTTCCAAATTTTAAAATTCTATAACTTGTACCGGAACCCATCAAATCAAGTCCAGCTGACCTCAAATTTTGCACACAAGTCATAATTAACATTACAGTCCTACTCAAACTTCTGGAATCAGAATTTGACCCCGATATCAAAAAGTTCACTCCCGGTCAAACTTCCAAAAACCTCCAACTTCCAACTTTCGCCAAATGACCCCGAAATGACCTACAGACCACCAAATCCACATCCGGCCGCGATCCTAAGACCAGAATCACCATACAGAGCTATTTTCAGGCTCAGAATTCCAAATGGACACCGATAGCATTAAATTACGCTTCAACCCAAATTTATAAAATTTTCCCAAAATGCCAACTTCCCACAATAGGCACTGAAACGCTCCCGAGTCATCCAAAACCCAATCCGAAAATACACCTAAGTACAAAATCATCATACAAACCTGTTGGAACTTTCAAATCCCGATTCCAAGGTCGTTTACTCAAAAGTCAAACCTTAGTCAATTCTTCCAACTTAAAGCTTTCGAAATGAGAATTTTCCATCCGAATCGACTCCGAACTTCTC